TGATTTTTATTAGAAAACTGGGCATTTGAAAAAATAGCAACCTCTTCCAGTCCTTACAAACCAGCTCTGTACTGGGGCAGTGCTTCACCAATTGGGCAGTGCTTCACTAATTGGGTCAGGGATAAGCCTGAGATAAAAGCTTAAGGTCCACTCAGGTCTTTTCTGAGAATGCCTCTTGCCTGGGCTTGTGTGTGGCTCTCTCAATTCCTCCATATACATGGCCTTTTTTGAATGTCTTAATATCCCAAAGAGTTCATTCCAGCTTTTCCCCAGGGACTAGATGGTCTATTGTATGTCCCCACCTGTCATCTTTTGCCTCAGGTGCACAAACAGTGACTACTGCTTTTCCCCTAGACTGAGATTCAAGTTATATGAGACAACTAGTCCTTTATGAAGCCCCCAGAAAGGGTAGAACATAGCCAGTAAGTTTAATCTGCAACTGGGAATTTGGCTGCTGCATCTTCTAGATGAAGACTGCTGAGCCAGGAGGGAGTGGGGAAATGGTGAGTAAAATTTCCATGAATTTTCCTATCAATTTTAAGGTAAATTTTTCTTACCTGGGAATGCACTTGGTTACTGTAGCTCTTTGGCGGTTTTTCACAGCTACCGTAAGGTTAATTCAGCCAGTTTCTTGTTTTTTGGTGTTTTCATGGACTAAGGGATTGAAACTTTCTAGTTTGGCATTTTGCTTATATCACACCCCTGAGGAACTTTTGTGTAGTTAAGACAATCACTTTGAAAAATTAAACAACGTATCAGGCAAAAAAAATTTCAATACACTGAGATGAAAGCTAATTTCTGTAATATCCCAAAAAACTCTTACAGTAAATCAATTATAAAAATATGAAAACCAAGTAGCACTTTGAACGTACAAGAGAGGAAATAACATTATGTCCTTTTTTACATAAATTACATACAGGCAATTTAAAGAAAAAGAAAAGTTACCATTTCTTTTGATGATGTTAAAGTGTATATTCAACTCTTTTTGTTTGTTTGTTTGTTTTGTTTTTTTAATAATTTTTTATTGTTATGTTAATCACCATACATTACATCATCAGTTTTTGGTGTAGTGTTCCATGATTCATTGTTTGTGCATAACACCCAGTGCTCCACGCAGAATGTGCCCTCTTGAATACCCATCACCAGGCTAACCCATCCCCCCACCCTATATTCAACTCTTATATTGGCTTATTTCTAGATAAAGTAAAGAATAAGACTAGTATTTTATATAAGCTGTAAACTCTGCATTGGAGCTTTCTAAACTCTGTTAGGTTTATGTATTTTAGCTCCATATCTTTATCGTAGGAAACTTTTCCTTGCCCCACCTTTCTTCCACTTTTACTTCTTACTTTTTAAGGGCCAGTTCCCATATTCTTGTTATAAACCATCTCATGAAACAGATTAAGCTCCCTCTTAGGTGGAAATCAAGAAATGTGGTCAAAAACAGTTGCCCAGACTTTCCAGCTCTGGGCTTTCTTTTTAATTTCCCCTGTTGATTCAAATTTTGCATTATAGAATGGAGATCAATTACATGAGCATTAGTTCTCACCAATAATCAGTTCAATATGACTATGGTAAGTTATTAGTTGCTTTTGATACTTTGAACTTCCTTGTGTGATTGGTTTTTGTCTGCCATTTATGACTGTGGTTGGTTTTGTCTGCCATTTACAACTCCATTCTTTGGATGCCCAGGAGACAGAAGCTTATCAAATTTAATTAAGATGTTTAACATGTAGAATGAAAATGAAGTTGGGCCTAGAATTTTATTTTTTATCTTAGTACATGAGTATTAAGTTCAAGGCATAGGGTTTGAAGAGCCCTTAACCATATCATGGGACTGTTGATAAAGGAGAGTGAGACCTCATTCATACTAACACAACTTCACAGATTTATAAGAGACCGAAAGATATCACCACTTTTCAACTACCTTGAAAAATTTCTAAATAAATAAGTAAGTAAGTTTAGGTTAAACCAGAAGCTCTGTGTCATATATTGGTTTCCTTTTTCAGAAGGGAAGTTCAAGTTTAATTTTGTTCAGTACATGTTAGAGTAGTGGGAAGGACATAGTGTCATTTCCTCTCTTGTTAAAGTTCTTGCTGATTTGTCTGGGTGAGCTTATTTAAAATAGCTGAAGTCAATGAACAGAAATGGAAATGGCACTGGTAAGAGGAACTGTACCTTTACATTAAAGAAAGAGTTCAGAAACCAAAAAAAGAGAGAAAGAAATGCCTGCTAGAATTTCAGATGGTACAGAGTAGGATCATGTCCTTTGCTAAAGGCAGCTATGAAGGAAGACCAGTGAGCACAATTTCAAATGCCTGCCTATCTAGTGCTCTGAGGCACTCTTTACTCTTTATCTGGGTCCATAGTGCATTAATCACATTACAAACCCATGAGAAGTTTTATTGGTGAAGAGGTACAACCTTACTTTGACTTCCTGTTAACACAAGGAAGACTGATTAGTCCAATCTATTGCAGAAATTCTCAAGAACTATGCTAAATTAAACCTGTGCATGATATTGACTCTTCAATACCCAACAGCTCCCTGGCGATTGGATATTCAGTGTTGACCCAAGTTTAAATATTCCTCAATAATTAGTTCTCTATTTGGACCTCATAGAATCTGGCAATAGTATAATTATTTTCTCTAAAGTAACCTGTCTTTTCACATAGTCTGTTTTCCCCACAATTTCAACTCTCTATGTATGTTGTCAGAAATAGCAATGATGCAATCTTCATGTCTAAATTAATTTATATGGAAAATTGTAAACACTGTCCCATATAGCCTTCAGTAGTCTAGTTTTATAGATGTTGATGACAATGAAAACCATAATTAAGCCTTCCCTTACAAATCTTATGATGACGTGAATAGACTTCCTCGTGATTATACATTGTCTTCAATCATCAAAAGATTCTTTGCCTCACATTAAAAAGGCTGTAATTGTCCTTCAAAAACAATGTCTAGGGGCGCCTGGGTGGTTCAGTCATTAAGCGTCTGCCTTTGACTCAGGTCATGATCCCGGGGTCCCGGAATCGAGCCCTGCATCAGGCTCCCTACTCGGCAGGGAGCCTGCTTCTCCCTCTCCCACTCCCCCTGCTTGTGTTCCCTCTCTTGCTGTGTCTCTCTCTGTCAAATAAATAAATAAAAAATCTTAAAAAAAATAAATAAAAATAAAAACAATGTCTAATTTATTAAGACTTATTATTAGGAGCAGGCAGAGAAGGACAGAGGGTCTATAGTTCCATAAATTTATAAATAGTAAATTACCAATTACTTTTGGCTTATAACTGCCAGACATTGCCCTTAAAAAGGGAAATTTCCCTTAAAAAGGGAAAAATGAGCTTTGTCACCGTAGCACCCACCACCATAATAGCTAAATAAGTTAATGCATACTTAAGGAATGTGCAGTGGAGAGAAACTGACCTGCAATGTATTCAGAAACTAGCAAGAATTGAGGACTATTAATGTCTGGATGTAAACTGTTGCATTATGAGATGATCAATAAAAAGTATTTGGAAAAAGGCATTCATTAGTTCAATCAACATTATGGAAAATCTAATATGTGAGAGGAGTCATAAAGCATGAGAGATGGGTGTGTCAGATTGTCGAGGGAATGTTTTTCATTTATCTAATGATACATAACATACCACTCAAAATTTGAGGGGAGGGGGTTAAAATAACAACAGTCATTTATTTGCTTACTCTTCCATAATTTTGGCAGGACCTGGGGATAACTCATCTCTGCTCCATGTGACTCAGTTGGGATTGGAAGATCCACTCCAAATATGGCTTACTCATGTGGACAGCAAGTTGAGGCTGATTGTCTCCTAGGTGCTCAGTGGAGTTGTTGACCAGACTCTCAATTCTCCTCCATGTTGCCTTTGCAGAAGCCTAGGTTGGGCTTCTCACCACACACCAAAAGAGTTTTGAAAGGAAGACGGTGAGTGCCAATGTGCAAATGCTTATCAAGTCTTGGCTCACTTCATGCTTAATAATATCCTATTGGCCAACTCTAGTCACATGACCAAGCCCAGAGTCGATGTGGGAAAAAATAATGCAAAGAGCCTGGTTCACTGGAGGCCAAAGTACCAGCCTACCATGGAAAAGTGGCTGGAGAGTTATAATACAAAGAACATACCTTGTTCTGCTTCAAGGAGCTCACAGAGAAGAAACCTTTTGAGTACTATTGATGTTTTACTACATATTGCAATGGGTAGATGTGAGGGACGATCTTTTACTCAGGACAATTGTTTGCTTATGGTGTTATATTATAGATAGGATAAATGAAAAATCAGAAAAGCATGACCATGAGCCCAGTGACCACAAGGTGGTTCCAACCAAGGCTGAGGCCCAAGGGGAGGACATTTTGCATCACGGTACAGACCTATTTTCTTGCCCTCCATTCTTCAATCGAGTCAATCTAGGGACATGTTTTAACTGATCCAGGCTGTTTTATTACTATACTTGTCTGAATAAGGAACCATTATGGTAACTTGTGGTATATCCTTAGGCAAATCCCTCACCATGCTGTTTCCTCATTTCTCAAACAAGGGAGTCAAATTAGGTGATCTCTACCGTTCCTTCAAAGTGTTATTTTTACTATATAACAATATAGTTAGTAACATTAGATCCTATTACATCAATAATGAGAAATGTGTTCTTTTCCTGACAAGCACATTCCTTTAACTAGTCAGTGAAGTTTATTGAGAACTAACTGGTGAATCTGGACTTCTCTGGGCACATCTGTTTGCTCGCTAACAGGCTCTAACTATGGAAACTGGAGTAGCATGAGTTAGGACTGGCTTTTGGCTTTGCAGGGGCCAGCAGTTTCTCTATTACAAACTAGGTGCCTTCTTGCATCAAAAGGTTAATTTCTGCATTACTTATCATCCTGGGTTGCTAAGAAGATAAGGGAAGTGAAAGTATTTAGCTTTGATTAGGGATTGAGGTTTTTTCTCACTTTGACCATACTCTACTAGGTTCTGACAGTTTTGCATCAGTCTTTGGGAAAAAAATAGAGGAATTCACTCTCAGGTATCTGCTAACCTCTAGAGTACTAGCCCTGCCCACGCCAAGGGAGGTCCCACTTTTTCAGCTTCTCTGTTGCTAAATCTGTGACCCTTTTAATGAAACCCAAGGGATTGTACACAAGGCAGAAAAGCAAGACATTTTTAAGAAGCAATTTAATATTTCTCTTCCTGATATTGTGCTTTTTTCCCTTTGCACTTCTTAGAATCCAAGAACTATAAGAAGCTTGCTTTTTTTTTTCCTTTTTTTTTTTTTTCTTTTCTTTTTTTAGTTTCACTTTCAAGATTGCAGCAAATCTGCCATGCCTTCCTGGTGAAAACGACTGAATTTGGACTAATGAAAAAAGGAACGGTCGGCTGTTATCAGAGTAAATGAAGGTATATCTTTAAAATTCTTACTGGGATAAGATCTCTCATGTTTGCTAGAGCTGGGACCACACGTTGGTTTTAGTATTCTTTGGTCTTTCTTTGGTCTGGTGCTTGAAATCTAGTCAGAATCAACAAGGAGAATGGAAGAAAAGAGAGATGATAGAGGTGTGGGGAGAAGTGTATCATAACTCAGTGTACATGTAATAGCAAGAATTTATAATTAACATAATAAAATCCTTTAGACAGTAATTAATTTTATTTTTCTTTGTGGATTTCTGGACCTGGAAAAGCACATTAGGAAATTTATGGAGATCATTTTGCAATAGCCTTTTTTTTTTTAATCATATCTTTGGGGCGCCTGGGTGGCTCAGTTGGTTAAGCATCTGCCTTCAGCTCAGGTCATGATCCCGGGGTTCTGGGATCAAGCCCCGCCTGGGGCTCCCTGCTCAGCGGGAAGTCTGCTTTTCCCTCTGTCCCTCTGCCTCCCCTCCCCAACCCCCTGCTCTTGTGTGCTTTCTCTCTCAAATAAATAAATAAATAAAATCATATCTTTGTCTTAAAGTTACAGAGCCCTGTGAGCTTGAAAGAGCTTCTCTCCTTTCCTCAGTTTTGTTGGCTGGAGAGGAGACAGAAGCTGGCATTTTAGGATAATGCGCTTGAAAAGGAGAAAACGCTTCAGGTGTTCCTGGGAGTACAAAAGTGGCTTCTTTGACCTCATAAAGGAAAGCGGAGGAAGGTGACAAGTAGAAAGGAGTTTAGATGTATAGGTTGATCAGAAAGCAGCACTGGCAGGTGCAGGTGCTTCAGATGAAATCTGAGAAGTCAGCCTCGGGCAGTAGTAGCTCAGGAGGTTACCTCCCAATTTTGCAATAGGATTGTGTGTTTGTGTGTGTCTACAGTTAGGTGTTACCTGTATACATTCAGGGGAAAAAAAAAAAAGTATTGTGAAGTGCACAAACCAAACTGGAGAAGCCGACTAAATAGTGGTTAGCTCTAAGTAGCCTGGCTCCAGACTCCATGTCTTCATCATGACGCAATATTATGTCTCACTTGGGGGCGCCTGGGTGGCTCAGTTGTTTAAGCGTCTGCCTTCGGCTCAGGTCATGATCCCAGGGTCCTGGAATCGAGCCCCGCATGGGGCTCCCTGCTCAGTGGGGAGTCTGTTTCTCCCTCTCCCACTCCCCCTGCTTGTGTTCCCTCTCTCACTGTGTCTCTCTCTGTCAAAATAAATAAAATCTTAAAAAAAAAAAAATTCTCTTTCACTTGGACACATGTAATTCGATGTACCCTGAAAGGCCTTTCTAAAATTGCAAGGCCCACTGAGTCCTATTTTCCATCTTTTTAGTTTTCTTTGCTTCTATTATGTCTCATACAATAGCAATTTTTTCCCTTCTGTTTCATCCTCTAACTGTATTTTCATTTGTTTCACTGAATCAAATTCCAGAATAACTTTTGCATACAGTTTGCATAGTTATAAACTTACCAAACCTTTGCATATTTCAAAATGCTTTCCCCCCTTATCGTGAATTGTTCCACTGGAAATGAAATTTTAGGTTCAAAGTTTCCCCTGATCATTTTGGAAGCTCATCACTACTGTTTTCTAGTGGCTGGTGTTGCTGATGAAAAGTTTTCTACCATTCAGGATCTTTTTCTTTTGGAAATAATTGATCATATGTTCTCCTTTGAAGGTTTTAGGATCTTTTTTCTTGTGAATGGCCACAATTCCGAAGTTTCATAAGATTCTCTCTGTGGATTTTCCTTTTTCGCTCCTCCTGCCTCCCATTTGGTGAGTCTTTTCCATGTGATGAATGTATTTTCAGATCTGGGAATGTCTTTCAGTCCTTCAGGGATATTCTTTGTAAATAGATTAGTCCTTTTCAGTAATTCTGATCTTTATCTATAGCCCTTCCAGAAGAGATAAATGTCACCCAGACAAGGAAGAGAATATATTGCAGGGACCGTAAGTGTGAGTTGGTAAACACAAGGAGAAGCATTTGTGGTGCAGGGAAGAGAGGTGTGGGAGAATCTCAGAGAGGTGAGGTTTGGGGAGTTAGTTCCTGATTTCCAGAATGTATTGTTTCCAGCTCCAAATTTTTCATGTATCTGAACAATTTGGTGAGGGGCCTCACAGCTGGCCTGGGCTGTGATATTTGTCATAGCCTATAAATATAAAAATCGTGTATAGCTTTACAATACTTAGTGCCAGTATTATAAAGGCCATAAAGTAATTAATAGAAACTGACTTTTCTTCTGTTTCTGAGAACTAGATTAGAATAAAAGTAAAACCACTATATTTTAAGAGCCAATTAGAACAATTATAAATACTCATACTAGTTCTATTTTCCTGCAATTAATCCTCTAAAGTGATGTTATTCTCTAAAACTTATCTGGAACTCTTCTTATGACATGACTTTTAGAGCTTATGGAAAACCTAACTTATTTAAATATCATTTTTATTGATCCATCTGCATACATTGAAGATGTATTTGATTTTTTAAAATATCTGAAAGTGAAACTAGGTAAATGATCGTACCAGAGACTATCGCATTAGGTACATATCCCACCAAAATAAAGTTGTGTCCATTTATGGAGGTGAAACGTTTTCTTGAGCTGATTAACTGCCCATGGAAAGCTATTCATTCAACATGTATTTATTCAATATTCGCTATGGTCCAGTCATTGTTCTAGACACAGGCAAAGCAATACAGAGTAAAGACAATCATGTCCTCTACTCCTATAACTTTATACTCTAGTCAGGTGGAATAGTTAATTAAATAATAAGTAAAATTATTTCAGATAATTCCCATCAACCATGGCACGGAAAAAACAATCTAGGAAAAGAATAACAAATAGAAGGATTTACGCTTCTGGGGCTCCTGGGTGGCTTAGTCGTTAAGCGTCCACCTTCGGCTCAGGTCATGATCCCAGGTGCTGGGATCGAGCCCCGCATTGGGCTCTTTGTTTGGCAGGAAGCCTGCTTCTCCCTCTCCCACTCCCCCTGCTTGTGTTCTCTCTCTCGCTGTATCTCTCTGTCAAATAAATAAAATCATTAAAAAAAAAAAAAGAGAAGGATTTACACTTTTTAATTCAAGGTTTACTATGAAGCCACAGTAATCAAAACAATGTGGTGTTGGCGTAAGAACTGACAAATGTTTCCATGTAAGAGAGTGGTGAGCCCAGATATAGACCCACACTTAAATCCACCCACACTTACTTGGTTTTTAAGAAGGATACTGAAGCAATCCAGTGGAGAAAGGGAAAAAAAAGTCTGACAAACTGGGTGTGCAACTGAAAAACATGAAACTTGACTCTTCCTTCGCATCATACACAACATTTTATTAAAGAGAGATCACAGGCCTTAACCTAACACCTAAAACCATAATCTTTTTTTTTAAAAAAGCATAATTTGGGAGTAGGCAAAGTTTCTTAGACGGGACACAGAAAGCAGTAATAATAAAAAAATGATAAATTAGACTTGATCATAATTATGAAGATATCATCATTCATTAAGAAAATGAGTAGGTAACCCACAAAATGGGAGAGAACACAAATATAAATCTGACAATGGACTGATACTTGTGTATATAAAAAAATTCCTAAATGCAATAATAAATAAGAAACAACCTAATTTTAAAAATGAGTTAAATCTTCAAATATACAAGGGAAAATATACAAATGGACAATAAGCATATAAAAATTATTAAATATCATTAGTCAGCCAAGAAATGAAAATTAAAAACCATAATGAGATATTACTACACACTCATCAGAATGAGTGAAAAATAATAGTGCCAAATGTTGGTAAAGATGTTGGTGGGAGTGTAAAATGGTATAAACTTTACTAAAAGATCTGGCAGTTTCTTATAAAAGTAATTATACTCTACCTTACCAAATGCCCAACAATTTCAATCATGGGTAATTATCCCAAAGAAATCAAGTATATGTTTCCATAAAAACATACAAAGATGTTCATAGTAACTTAATTCATAATTGTGAAAAACTTCACACAATCCATGCGTCTAATAATATCAGCATGGATAAAATATATTTATACAATGGCATACCATTTAGTTAAAAAAAATACTATTTAGTTAAAAAAAAAGAACATCCCAAAACAAGCAACATGGATGAACTTCAAAAATATTTGAGTGAAATATCTCTTATTTAAGAGAGTGAATATGAGCCCATTGTTAGGAAGTTATAAATCACGCAACACTATAGTAGAAAAAAGTCAGAGCTATGATGGTCTCTGGGAGACAGGGATTAGAATGAACTGGAAGGGGATGGGGGAACTCTTTAGGGTTTAGTTTACATAGGTGCATACACATGTCAAAAGTCAGAGAATGTACACTAAAGATTTGTGCATTTCGTTGTATGCAAATTTTATATCAAACGAAAAACTCAACAAATACTGAACCGAAAGTAGCAATGCACACTCTTTTAGAGGGAAAGGTACTGATGTTGCAGTACACTTTGGTGAACTGGTGGATAGAGGATGGATAGATGAGTAGATATATGATAGTGGAAGAGTGTTCACTGTAAAATTCTGTGAGTTGTGCTGTTGTTTAGGACTTTTCATTAAAAATGCTAGAACAAAATAACTGTGGTAGAGCCATATTCTGTATGAATGGAAATGAGCAAATGCTGCTATAGGACAAGATGTGGATCAGTCTCACAAACCTAATATGGAATTTTAAAAAGGCATACAATGATACATAGCGCAGAATTCCATTAACATGTACATCAAAAGCAAGTAAACTTAAACTTTCTGTGTATGACATAATGAAGTGCTTGTCTGGGGAAGGAGGAGTGGTGGCTGGGCAGGAGCATGAGGGAGGTCTCGGGGGGGCTCATTGTGCTCTATTTCCTGCTATGAGTGGTGAATGCACTGACATGCTCTTGATGAAAATTCAACAAGCTGTACATTCATGATTTGTGTACTGTTCTGTATATATTTAAAATATAATTACTGGGGCGCCTGGGTGGCTCAGTCGTTAAGCGTCTGCCTTCGGCTCAGGTCATGATCCCAGAGTCCTGGAATTGAGCCCCACATAGGGTTCCCTGCTCCGCGGGAAGCCTGCTTCTCCCTCTGCCACTCCCCCTGCTTGTGTTCCCTCTCTCGCTGTGTCTCTCTCTGTCAAATAAATAAAATCTTTAAAAAATATATATATGATTTAAATTCAAAATTTAAATTTAAAAAGTACATATATAATACAAATCCTGATACAAAAAGCTGAGCTTTTATCTAGAAATATAGAATAAAAAGATAAAAAGGTGGAATATGAAAGGAAATTTTATTTTTTTTAATTATTTATTTTAGAGAGAAATAGAGAGCAAGAGTGCAAGAGCAAGGGGTGGGGGAGGGGCAGAGAGAGAATCCTTAGGCAGACTCCCTGCTCAGCAGGGAGACTGACTCAGGGCTGGATCCTGGACCCTGAGATCATGACCCGAGCTGAAACCAAGAGTTGGATGCATAACTGACTGAGCCACCCAGATGCCCCTAAAAGGGAACTTTAAATACAGATAAGATCACATGAAGGGCCAATGTTTACCTAAAAGTGGTTTTAAAGGAGAGAACACAGGAAAAGAAAGAGGGGAAATGATCCAAATAGTAATAGAAAAAGAAAGCTAAAAATTTAAGGAAGACATGAGTCCTCAGACTGACAATGGCTTAGGGTGTATATCTACATTTTAGAGGGAAGATTTAGCATGAAATATCCTTGTGAAATTTTACATTACCAAGGATAAAGAAAAAGACACTTAAGAGAAAACAGAGAGTAAAATAAAGTTATCTTTTACATAAAGGAAAGAAAACCAGATGGGCATGGTTTCTTCTTAGCAACAACGGATACTAAAAGACAATGGAATAATGCCTTCATGACTTTGCAGAAAAAGTATTTTGAACCTCAAATAGCCTATACATCAAAATCATATGACAAAAGAACAAAAACAAATATTCAAGAACTTAAAAGATAAAACCTCCTATAGGTATTTTGGGGAAAGAGGGGGAAGAGCTACTTAAGGAGACACTTTAGTCAAAAATATTTCAAGAAAGAAGGTACTGAAATCCATGATAGTGACATTAACCTAGGAATATGGTGGAATGGACTCCAAGATGATAACCAAATAGCAGGTGTCAGACATATCCCTCCACACTTGTCATCTACCCAAGAGAATGATGAAGAAGGTAATTAATCTTGGTGTTACAGAAATGAAATCACATATTGTGCTTCTCTCAAAAAGGCATTGCATTGAAACTGGGATGGAGGTGAAGAATGAAGAGGGAGTTTGTATGCTCCATTTTTTACTTTTCGGTGCTATTTGATTTATTCCCATTTGATGTATTGCTTGTATAATACATACTTGTATATCATAGAAGTTGTGAGTCCAAAGATCATACGTAGTTCACATTTAGTTATCTGTTTTACAAGGAAAATACCAATGCCTATGAAAACCTATGTTACTAATGTCTCTTACTTGTTTACGTTTCTTTTAGAGGCGAGAATCATGAACCAGAGTTTACCTTTTCATATCTACTACTTTTTGGGACTGTTGCCCTTGTGGATACTGTGTACATCTTCTGCCAATAAATGTGTTGTTAGACAAGAAGTAGCTGACTGCAGTCATCTGAAGTTGACTCAAGTGCCTGATGACCTTCCGGCAAACATAACAGTGTTGAATCTCACCCATAATCAGCTCCGAAGATTACCATCTGCCAATTTTACAAGATATAGCCAACTTACTATCTTGGATGGAGGATTTAACTCCATCTCAAAACTGGAGCCAGAATTGTGCCAAAAACTCCCCCTGTTGGAAATTCTGAATCTCCAACACAATGAGCTATCTCACCTTTCAGATCAAACTTTTGTCTTCTGCATGAATTTGACTGAACTCCATCTAATGTCCAATCCAATCAAGAAAATTCAAAATAATCCCTTTCAAAACCTGAAGGTAAGATGAAAATGTTCATCTCCATATAAAAAATTAAAAATATGTTATCTCATGTTAAGTTTTCAAGTCACTTATGAATCTTTAGACTTTGTATCTAAATATCAAGGTGAAGAATAAGAAAACCAATCTTACCCCGTTTATGTTTGAAAATGTTTTCAAAAGGCAAAATAGCATCTTAAAACCAATTTCAGTCTTAATTTTTAAAGAACTTTGCCTCTCTTTCTACCTCCCATTAAAAATTCAACTTAGAGGGGAGACTGGGTGGCTCAGTCGTTAAGCGTCTGCCTTAGGCTCAGGTCATGATCCCAGGATCCTGGGATCGAGCCCCGCATCGGGCTCCCCGCTCCGTGGGAAGCCTGCTTCTCCCTCTCCCACTCCCCCTGCTTGTGTTCCCTCTCTCGCTGTGTCTCTCTCTGTCAAATAAATAAATAAACAAACAAACAAACAAATAAATAAATAAATAAAAATTCAACTTAGATACAACAGGTAGAGATCAAAGAAGAATCTGATCTGTCATAACCAGAGAAGAATCAGAATATACCGCGAGGAACACAGCAAATAAAGCTCTCAGTGCTGCTGATTTAGTACCTGAAGTAATAACAAAAAAGGCCATATCCAAATTCTGACTTAAATGAAGTTAACAAATTGATGGATGATAAAGCAAATTGTTCAATTAAAAATTACCTACTCTTGGGGCGCCTGGGTGGCTCAGTCATTAAGTGTCTGCCTTCGGCTCAGGTCAGGATCCCAGGGTCCTGGGATCGAGCCCCGCATCGGGCTCCCTGCTCCCCGGGGATCTGGCTTCTCCCTCTCACACTCCTCCTGCTGTGTTCCCTCTCTCACTGTCTCTTTCTGTCAAATAAATAAATAAAATCTTTTTTAAAAAAATTGCATACTCTTGATTTAAGAAATCTCTTTACAAGATTGCTTTTCCAATGGCCACCATCTTTTTTTTCAGTACTTTGCTTGAATTTTGCATGTGTGAAAACGTATGTTATTGTCTCTCAATCTGAGGCAATTATTAAGTACTTTTCTTAAACCAAAGCCATTTTTAAAACTCTTTGTTTTCTTCATTTTATGGATGTAGAAAAAATTGGCATTCTTTGACCTCATGTGCCAAGAATAGTGTACAAACTTAAATATGCGTAGAAACGTTTATAAAATGATTTGCTTGCTGGTGATTTGAAAATTCTTTCTTGTGCCTCCTTAGATTCTGAAGTGGACGAAATGTCTTTGGACACAAAGGCCTCAAAATCTGGTTAGAGTAATCCTTGGCAAAATCTTCTTTTATTTTTAAAACATAAATAAAAGTCTTACTCTCTTTAAACACATTACATAAGATTCTGCCCTAATATATATCAGCTTTTCATTACCTTTTACCCGAGTGGAAGTCTGTGTGCTAAAAAGTAGCACTAGGGTGGTAAAATGTCCCATGAAACAAACAAAAATGAATATTCTGCACTAGTCATGATGCAAAATTTACATAAGTGTCAGTCTTTCTCAATATAAAAAATCTTTTTAAGATCTCATGGACAGCAAAGTTCTACTCATACTTCTTTAAGAAGAAAATTTTTTCTTCTTTTTTTCTGTTGTTTAGTTTCAAGGCTGATGCATGACACTCTTTGTTTGTTAAGCCACATGAATATTCTTCACATCATAAAGAAATGCTTATTATAAATAAATGCTTATTTTTTAAGATTTTATTTATTCTTGTGAGAGAGAGAGAGAGAGCTTGAGTGCACAAGTGGGGGTTGGAAGGGGCAGACTGAGAAGACCCCCCGCTGAGCAGGGAGCCAGAAGCGGGGCTCAATCCCAGGACCTTGAGATCATGACCTGAGCTGAAGGCAGATGTTTAAGCAACTGAGCCACCCAGGTACCCCTAAATAAATGCTTATTATGAATACTCCTTATATCATGAATAAATGAGCTTAAGTCCTTTTATTTTGGTAAGAGAAATAAAATGATTATTTTTTAAATGAATCGAAGTAAGAAACAAAACCCTTGCAATAATGGTATTTTCAATCACACAAAGATTTTTTTATTACTCCTACTGTCAGTTTTCTAGGATAGTAGAGAGGTAACTTTTTGCTGTTATTTCTGAGTTATTTCTAAGATTCAGGTACATTTAAAGGAACTGTTTTTGGAGGCAAGACTAACGTATATCTTTTTGCTTTCTCAGAATTTAATCAAATTAGATCTATCTCATAATGGTTTATCATCTACTAAATTAGGAAGTCAGCTCCAACTGGAAAATCTCCAAGAGCTTCTGTTATCAAATAATAAAATTAATGTACTGAGACCTGAAGAACTTGATTTCCTTGGTAATTCTTCTTTAAAAAAATTAGAGTTGTCATCAAATCCAATTAAAGAGGTAAGAAGTAAGGTAAAATTATTTTGTGTTCTACCTTCAAGTGTGGGCAGTCCCTAACTGTGTCACATGGATAAGAATCTAAAGGTTCCTAGAGAAAGGGGTGATAATGTTTGCCACGTCTTCCAGAAATCCTTCATACTTCCTGCTTGGGGCCATTGATGTCATCCTCACAAAAAGAGTCTGGTAGCAGTAAGGAGCTGGGGCTCCGCTGTCTAACGGAAGTGGGTTAAAATCCCTGTTCCAATTACAGGCTAGTACTTGGACCTTGGGGAACCTACTTAACCTCTCTGCGTCTTACTTTCCTCACTTGAAAAGTGGAAACAATACTATTTATCCCATAAAATCTCTGAAAGAATTAAAATAGCATGGTAGTTAAGAGGACGAGCTTTAGAGTTGGGTTAGCTAGCTCTGCATCTGGGCTTTCTCTCCTAATGATTGTGTAATCAGGCAAATTATTCAAATTCTTCATGCTCCAGTTCCCCAGCTGTAGAATTGGTAAAATAATAACTATGTCATAGGCTGTATGGTAAAGAATTTAGCAGTGTCTGGCATGTAAGTGCTCCATAAATGATAACTAGCATTAAATTATTATAAAAATCCTCTTATAATGGGATCTACCTAACTAACCTTCTCTTTGGAACCATGATAGTCAATTCATTAACTACTTTCATATACAGGTATGTCTGTATTTTATTCCTTTACAGGCTGAGAATAAGAATATTGGAAATCATAAACTAAGTCAGATTTTTAAAAGCTGTATTCATTTTCAGAATAAAAATAGACTGTGTATTGGTCCTGAGATAATAAAATATAAACAAACAACAAATGAACATTTTACTCAATACTCAGGCTAAGTTTTGAACAGCATGTTTTTAAAATTTAGAACATTTCATGTAGAAGTCTTATAAAATACGTAAGTAGTGGGGGGGTGATAAAAATCATCCAAAAGCCCACATTCCAGAGACGGCCAGTATTAGCATTTGGGTATTTTTATCTCCAGCTTTCCTCCAAGTGATAATAAGAAAAAACAGCAGATGAAATTCAGAGTACAAATTCAAAATAAACTGTGTCAGACACTGTGATAAGTTCTATATACATATATTTTTAAAAAAATTTTTTACATAGTCCTGTAATTAACTTATTCTTACCATCATTTTACACAAGGGTAAATTGAGATAAGGAAGGATTGAGGAACTTGCCCAAGGTCTCACAAGTGGTTATCTGGTGACAGAACTGGGTTTGTAGCAGTGTTAGATCAGAGCCCATGCTCTTGACAGCTGTTCCATGTTGCCTCCCTCTGGCGACAGCGTGTCCAGCCTTTTAAAAGTAATATCATAAGGAATATGACTCAGCCATCAGGAAGGCTGAATACCCAACTTGTGCATCAGCATGGATGGGACTGGAGGAGATGATGCTAAGTGAAATAAGTCAAGCAGAGAAAGTCATTTATCATACCGTAGCCCTTATTTGTAGAATGTAAGGAACAGCATGGAGGACATTAGGAGAAGGAAGGGAAAAATGGAAGGAGGTAAATCGGAGGGGGAGATGAACCATGAGAGACGATGGACTCTGAGAAACAAACTGAAGGGTCTAGAGGGGACGTTTGAGGGCACATACTGACTGGAGCACTGGGTGTTAAACGCAAACAATCATGGACCACTACATCAAAAACTAATGATGTACTGTATGGTGACTGACATAAAAAAATAATATCATATCATGAACATTCTCCATGTCATTAAGAATTATTCAAAAACTCAATTTTGATTACTGTAAAATAGTGCTGTCGTGTAAGTTCATCCTAATTAATTTAACAATCTTCTGCTTCACAGTCCAATTCCCTTTGCTTACAGTAAAGTACACTTTCTTCCATTAGCCCTCACATCTCACTAAATGACACACAGTAGGAGTCGGAGCCTCTTTGCTCTCCTGGTGTTGAACCACTGCCCAGGACTGGCTGCTCCCCTCTGGATTCCTTCACTCCTCCTGCCTTCTGTTCTCTCGTTCTGGTGCTGAACCCCACCCAAGGCTTCTGGTGAGGGAGTGGGGTCAGAGCAGAAGGGATCTGAAAGCACTAGCATGAAATAAAGTCGGGAGAAAAAACTGTAGTGGAAAGACAAAGAGCAAGGCTGGAGCTCAGAGTCACAGAAGGGCAAGTGGGAGTCATTGTTTCATAATAGAATCCACCCATTCATTTCATGTGTTCATTGAGAACTGCGGTCATCAAGACAAACAGGATCTGCCCCAGTGGTGACTTTACAAATACCTTATTAATTACAATTATACTCAGAGCAAGTAAAAGCACCAGGGACCTAACCTAGACTGGGAGGTCAGGGAAAGCCCCTTGACGAGAAGACCCTTAAATGCTGGGTGGAAGGTAGTCAGAGGCCCGGAAGGGTGAGGGGTTAGAACAGGAGGGGGCTGTTGCAGGCACAGAGTAAGGAGTGGTGCAGCGGAGGTGTGGGGAAGAAATGAAGAGAAGATGGTGAAGGGGAATGGGACTGAGTAAAGAATTGTTTAAGCTTTTCAAGAGTCATGCAGATGCCACTGTGTTTTGGTTATTAACCTCCTTTCCCCCCCTAACTTTAGTTCTCTCCAGGGTGTTTTCATGCAATTGGAAAATTATTCGGTCTCTCTCTGAACAATGCTCAACTGACCCCCAGCCTCACAGAGAAGCTCTGTTTGGAACTGTCAAACACAAGCATTCAGAATCTATCCCTGAGCAACACCCAGCTGTACAGAACGAGCAATCTGACTTTCGTTGGATTGAAGCACACAAATCTCACCATGCTCGATCTTTCCCACAACAACTTAAATGTGATTGAGAATAATTCCTTTGCTTGGCTTCCACATCTAGAATATTTCTTCCTGGAGTATAATAACATAGAGCATTTGTTTTCTCACTCCTTTTATGGGCTTCTCAACGTGAGATACCTGGATTTGCGACGCTCTTTTTCTAAACAAAGCATTTCCCTTGCTTTGCATCCCAAGATTGATGATTTTTCCTTTCAGTGGCTAAAATGTTTGGAGTATCTTAACATGGAAGACAACAACTTTCCAGGCATAAAAAGCAATATGTTCACGGGATTGATAAAGCTGAAACACTTAAGTCTCTCCAACTCCTTCGCAAGTTTGCGGACTTTAACCAATGAAACATTTTTGTCCCTTGCTCAGTCTCCTTTAGTCACACTCAATCTAACCAAAAACAAAATCTCAAAAATTGAGAGTGGTGCTTTTTCTTGGCTGGGCCGCCTACAGGTACTCGACCTTGGCCTTAATGAAATCGGGCAAGAACTCACGGGCCACGAATGGAGAGGTTTAGAAAATATTGTTGAAATCTACCTTTCCTACAACAAATGCCTACAACTGACTAGCGGCTCTTTTGCCTTGGTTCCAAGCCTCCGACGACTGATGCTCCGAAGAGTGGCCCTTAGAAATGTGGACGGCTCCCCTTCACCTTTTCATCCTCTTCGAAACTTGACTATTCTGGATCTAAGCAACAACAATATAGCCAACATAAATGCTGAGCTGTTGGAGGGTCTTGAGAAACTAGAAATTCTGGATTTGCAGCATAACAACTTAGCAAGGCTATGGAAACGTGCAAACCCCGGTGGTCCTGTTCATTTTCTAAAGGGTCTTTCTCACCTCCACATTCTTAATTTAGAGTCTAATGGCTTTGATGAGATCCCAGCAGAGGTATTCAAGGACTTATTTGAATTAAAAAGCCTTTATTTAGGATTGAATAATTTAAACATATTTCCACCATCTGTCTTTGATGGTCAGGCATCTCTAAAGTCATTGAACCTTCAGAAGAATCTCATAACATCAGTTGAGAAGAATGTTTTTGGGCCAGCCTTCAGGAACCTGAGTAATTTAGATATGAGCTTTAATCCCTTTGATTGTACCTGTGAAAGTATTGCCTGGTTTGTTAATTGGATTAACCGGACCCACACCAACATCTCTGAGCTATCAAGCCATTACCTCTGCAATACTCCACCTCAATATCATGGTTTCCCTGTGATGCTTTTTGATATATCACCCTGCAAAGACAGTGCCCCCTTTAAACTCTTTTTCATAATAAATACCAGTGTCTCATTGATTTTTATCGTTATCGTACTGCTTATCCATTTTGAAGGCTGGAGGATATCTTTTTATTGGAATGTTTTAGTGCATCGAATTCTTGGTTTCAAAGAAATAGACAGACAGCCAGAACAGTTTGAATATGCAGCTTATATAATTCATGCCTATAAAGATAAGGATTGGGTCTGGGAACACTTCTTTTCAATGGAAGAAAAAGATCAAACTCTCAAATTTTGTCTCGAAGAAAGGGACTTTGAGGCAGGTGTCCTTGAACTCGAATCAATTGTTAATAGCATCAAAAGGAGCAGAAAAACTATTTTTGTTGTAACACAGAATCTACTAAAAGATCCATTATGCAAAAGGTAGGTGAACATTGTGAAATTTTAAGTGTGTACTTATTTTTTTTGATTGAGCTTTTAAATATTACTTACATTATGACTCACAACTCAAAGAATTTTAAAAATAAATTTCTTAAAAAAATAACCTGATTATTAGGGACAGATAAAAACAAACTTAAGGAGGATGTGAGAGCTTTTGGCTGTTAAAAACTGTATACTGGTATATAACGTATTTCAATACTTTTTTCCCCTAGATTCAAGGTGCACCAAGCAGTTCAACAAGCTATTGAACAAAATCTGGATTCCATTATATTGATCTTTCTTGAGGAGATCCCAGATTATAAACTGAACCATGCACTCTGTTTGCGAAGAGGGATGTTTAAGTCTCACTGCATCTTGAGCTGGCCAGTTCAGAAAGAACGGGTAAATGCCTTTCATCATAAATTGCAAGTAGCGCTTGGATCCAGAAATTCAATACATTAAATTTATTTCAAGACTAAGGTAACAGAGGAGTAACTTTCCCAACTTAAAAAGTTTCGTAGTCAATTTAGGCTTTATTTGAAAATAATGTAAATCTGTTTATTCATATTCAGAGAGTATTGTCCCATGATTCTATCTCTCTATCGCAGGCCTTTTATTACCAGCTGAGTTAATTGGACCCAAAATAAACATATAAGAATATCTTCTACGAATGAATATACAATTGGTTACTGAGGTCTATGACAACTTAAGAAAGTTTTAAAATATTCCTCATTCAAAGAAAAGTTAGAATTATGGGAAGGTTTCTGATAATTATATTTGGAGTTTTTTTAGATGCACTCAGTAGAATAAGAGATAATTGTTTTAGTGGATACAATGCTCTTTCAACTGTGAAAGAGTAAAATACATACCCCAATTTTTAAAAGCTTAGGTATAGTATTTTTTTTTTCATTTGGAAAGCTTTTATTTTAGTGGTGCCTGTCTCAGTGTTGATTTTGTTAAGTGTTAAATCCCATTTTAATATACAGATTCATGGTCAGAAAACATTTACGGTTCATTTTGATCACTTAGTAAAATAAACATTTTAATAAATACTTACTTATATTTTCCTGACATTTGGGTTTCTGCTATAGGTGTTAGAAGAAACAATCCTCTTACTTAAAAATATTACAAAAAAAAAAAAAAACACAAGATTACAGAAAGGCTTGCTTCCTGAAGGTTAATTAGTAGATTGGCTTTGTGGAGATAAAATATTCTTTTCTCTTGGTCACAGAGTCAGGGGATGGCCCTGGTCAAATCATTTGGTCCCACTGGGATTCTTTGACTCCTGATTTTGGAAATTATGGTGATAAACAAAATCTTAAATAATCCCATATAATTAATGATGACCATGGCATAGTACCTTCACATGAAATATATTATGTCATAAAATTATATGCTATGTACATGTTAGTCCTTTTCTAGAAAGACTATTATTTTAAATTTTATTTTTGTCTTACAATGAAAAGAATCTAATCGGAAATAGACAAGAATAACCTTTTAAAACACCTTTATAGTTCTTGTATTCAAATATAAGAGAGGGTTGAAATGATAAGCTGAGTTAATTTCTATATTAGAAGCACCTGTTTGCTAAATTTAGGGAGCATTTGAGGTATTGCATTTTGGAACTTTGACTTAAATAGTTCAGTATTCTCAGGGGTAAGCTCACAGGATCCTGAAGTAATATCCACTGTTTATCCACTGTATTGCTGGTTCTGAAAGAGTCTATCAACAATGTGAATGTGTGGAGGACTCATTTTCACTTTCCCATTATACATCATCCTTGCACACGAGACACTTGTTCTATAGCTTTTTTTGTTAAAATGTGTTTTCTGCCTGTAAAATAATCTCGCTTTATTTTGGCATCATAAGCTATAAATAAATGAATGAATGACTAAATAAATAAAATTAAACTTTTATGATGCCAAAATAAAATTCACAATTACTGTTTTCCTTGATGTGCTTTGTATGTTATCTGTGTATCACTGGTTTCAATTTCATTAAAATATTTCTAAGTGAATTTTTCTTATGAATTAATGTTTCATCAGTTTGTGAAAAGGCTTTCATTCTCTTATTTATTCGCTTATAAGATAGTTGATCAAATGGCTACAACTTAAATTGAGCTCAAATGTCATTTTTTAAAGTTGCTGAATGGATAGAAGATGCACAAGAGATGACCCATTTAACTGAATATAAGCCAAACTAATAAAAGTTGAGAGTCTTGACATGTGTTTGACCTGCACAGGAAGAAACATCCTGAACTTCAGCAAGCTGTCCATTATAATTGTTCTCAGGAGGAGTCCTCATCCCTGGGGTTTGAAACAAGGGAAGTGCAGGAAAGGATGTTTGTCTGACCTGTTTAATTTCCAAGAGTGAAGTGACTTGCTTGGATGCTGTCAAGGTGGCATCATGTTATCTGTTTACTCCATCTTCTCCATCCTGTTTTTCACTTTCAAAACAAATTCCAGCTGAATCAACATTGAGTTTAAAATCAACCTAGGAATTTAGATTTTACCTAAAAATGGCATCTTTGTGGTTGTAATAAGAAGTAAATGCTATCAGTTTGTTAGCAAGGAGGGGGGTTTTCAATGCCATTTATTTAACGATGTCTAATTATTCAAATGTCTACCTTAGGTTGTTTGTAAAGGGAACTCAATAGTAACTGATGGTGGCCATTGGAAAAAGGAAAGATGCTCAATATGAAGAGGTTAAAAAATACTTCTTGCAATCTTTAGAGGCAGAAAGCAGACTAGTGGCTGTCTGGACCTAGGGATGAGAATGGGGAGTAACTATAAGTGGTGCAAGAGATTTTGGGGTGATGAAAATATTCTAAAATCGGAATGTGGTAACGATTGTACAACTCTGTAAGTTTTTTACTAAGAATCATTGAATCATATTCTTAAAACAGGTGAATTTTATGGTATATGAATTATATATTAATAAAACTGTTAGAAAAATAGTATTCATGGAGCAGTGTGCCTCACCGTGTGCTAAGCATGATGGGGCACAATAGGAGAGGAGGTAAATTGTAGAAAATGGGGCAAGAAGAGTTAGGGTAGGAAGGGACTATCAAAGATGGACCTGAACAAAAGGCTCCATGGGAGAGGATCAGGCCTTTCAAAGGTGGGTAGGATTTTGTTGAGTGCGGAGGCAGGTGGCAGAATGAACAGTAAGATGGAAGGGAGGAGGCATAAACTTGGTGTTGGATGGCCACAGGGTTGCTGCAGAGGATGGAACCATGCTGTAGAGAGCGTGGCAGAGGAATTTAGATTTAAGGAGTCAGGTGTTTTGAAATTGTAACTTTATGGGTTTCAATTGGCAAAACCAGAAATTATAATAAAATTCCTTCCTGTGATCTATGACTTAGATTTCTGTGACAACCAGGTGAATAGAGGATGTAACTTCTAACTTGACAGTACAAATAGCCAGGCATACTCCCACATCACAGAAGGAGACTTAACCCACTTATTTTTTCCTATAAATGTGGAAATCTATATTAAAGTAACCAAAAGAGTCCAATTAATTGGTCATTAGTTGCTAATTACACTAGTTGATATATCAGCCATTTTTAGCTCTTGCAACTCCTTAGCCTTGCTGCATCTTCCTGTGCAAGGGAGGAACTGGTTCTGTCATGTGACTTTCCCCCCACCCACTTCATGAGCCATCTTGCATACATTGGGCAGGAGTCGTGGGACTTTTCACTGATGGAACTTTTCTGGTTCTATGTGAGAATTGCTGGGTAGCCAGTTTTGAATTCTTAGCTCCCCTTTATCTTAAGTCAGTTCCCCAGGAAATAGACCCTGGGATGCAGAGGTACATGCAGCAGGTTTGGGGGTGTGCTCTGATTTATGAGGGAGTGAAATCAACTGGATTGGGAAGAGGGAGAATGATGATCTGTGATGCAATTGCAGGTTGCAGCAGAGGCCCTAGCAGACCCTAGCAGACCCCACAGGTTTCATGCCAAAAAGGGGACTGGACCACTCTACCCTCATCTCAGCCAATCCATATTGGATGTAGGCAGTCCCAGGGAGGAAGCATGCCCTTGAGCAAAAAGCTTTGCCAAACGCAATTCCAAAGGAGGAGCTCAGTTGGGAAGCATGAGGAGTGACCTCTCTGGGCAACTGGAAGAATAGGTGCCTGGGTCCTAAGGTGAGATCTGAGCGGTTCCCAACAGCATCCACGACACCTTCCAAGGGATTTAAAAATTGAAATAGAATAGCTCAGTTGGTTTCTTTAAGCACTTCTGCAAGCTTCCAACAATTTTATTTTTTAAAAAATATAGTCTCTTCTAGACATTCTGGAAAACAAATGGCTTTATAGGAAGCCAACATTTAAAAAAAAAAATAAGGATGCTCTAACATCGTCAGTGTCTTCCAGTCAAAGAACAAGTTGGGTTTATTACTCACTGAACTGAAGGAGGATACACAGCATGGAGATCTAGGGGGGCTCTCAGTAAGAAGGTATGTGAAAGGTTTGGGCTTTCCTTGGGTGATTTGGGGGGAGGAAATGCAGAAGCAGAGTTTCCTTCTAGATTTCATGCTGTTAGAGAGGGGGAAATTTTGTGATGCTGTTAGAGAGGGGGCACCTTTATCTCAATAAAGCTTGTCTGTAGAGAGAAGAGACTAGAACCCAGATAAAGTTGTACTTGGTAAAGAAGTAGCTACTTAGCCGAGAGAGGAGTGTTTATGGCATTTTGAAGGTAGCACCATGACCTTATTTTTGTCTGTGCTTATACAAAATTAGGAAGTGGTCATGCTTTGTCTCATTTTATAGTGTCAGCGTTGCCTTGTCTGAGGTTGATATTCTGTGGGGATGTTTCTGTCCTGCAAGAGGATAACATGGCCCAGCTGTGAGTGCTGGGCTGGCTTCTGGATGTCAGGGACTACTCTTTGCTTTTCTCAGCAGCTTTCAATGCAGGTATCTTTTTGGCTCCTGGAAGAAATACCGTTTCATCTTAGTGAGCACTTGGTTGCAAGTGCCAGAAACTCAACGTTGTTTAGGCAGAAAGGGAGAATGTATGTGGTCTATAACCAAATGGGAAAAGGGCAGGGATATAACTAGCTGTCGAGGAGAACTAGAACAGGAACTCAAACACCACCACACCTCATCCCTACTCCTTTCTCTACATTAGTTAATGCCCTTGGTTTGTACTGCTAGAAGAGGGGGCGGTGTGTGCACGGGATCTCTTAGGCTCCCAGTTCACGTCCACAATCCCGGTTTCTAAAACCTCAGGAAAGTCCTCTGATTAGCCCAGTTTGGGCTATATGTCCATGCCATGCCATGGCAATGGGGTCCTGTGGTTGGCAGCACCCACCAGAACCAGGTAGATAGAATGCTGTTCCCCAAAGAGGGGAGCTGGACAGCCCCAGCGGTTCATGACCGCCATTTGAGACCTGTAGAACTGGCCTACTGAATACGCTGGACTCGGTGAAAGTGCAAAAAGGAAACTGTGTTATTCTTTCTCCTCTCAAAGCTCTTTTTAAGAAAATTCTGCCATTTGGATGAAACCTCAGGCTTGTCATGGAGCTTTTCAGACACTCTTAGAGAGTACAAAGGGTTGTCCAACTTCATCATCACAAACCTCTGGTCCAGCAGTAATAACAAACTCTTGCCCAATTAGGCTTCTCTACTTCCCCAGCTGGGGTCTGCTTCCATCTGCTGGCAGACCCCATTGAAGGGGGTGATGGTGTTGGCGTCTTGTCTCTCTCCTCATTCCACCTGCTCTCCCACTGGCTAACTGAACACCTCTAGAATCTCAGGCGTTCAGAACACAGAGGAACGAAGGGACAGATACATTTGACCGGTATGGGTATGATCTGGCCTCTGGGCCTTGGCAGCATAATTCTGGGTGGCTGGCTCTTTGTGTCATGGGATGCTTTTGTCACTTCATCAGTGATGCAGAATCTTCCCTTGGAGCCTAACCCACAGGCGAGGCATGGCTGTGGTCAGCCACTCCCAGCACAGATTCTTCATGTGACTTCCTGGCATCTAATAAAATGAATTCAAAACTTTCCATCACTCTGTCTCCACCCAATCTTTCAAACTTGTCTCCACTATAGCTGTATACATCTAAGGTGCTGATTGGTGTTCCTCACGGGTCTTCCAAGATAACATCCCATAAAAGGGCCCCTGCGAAGTAAATGT